TTGTAACTTTGAGCAGTCACTAAACGAACTGTTGTAAGTCGAGGACTACCTATATCTTCTAAGCAATCTTGACTCCTGGCGACTACATGGCAAGATTTCAGAAGTGGTTTGCCACTGCCTGCTTCCTAGGGATGAGAGACCTGGCTAGCACCAGATCTCCCAGCTGTGCTTAAGGCAAGATTAAAACTCACAGTCTCCCAGCTTCTAGCTTTTAACTATAACACCACGCTGGGGCTCTATCTTAGTATAGAAAAATACATAGTTAATTCAAGAGACCCTGAAAATATGTACTCCGATCAACACATTAAGGGGCGTGAAATTCATTTGCAAAGAGTAAGAATTTGGTTTGGTCTAGTGGTTAAGGCACCAGTTTAGAAAGAAGGAGACTGTGAGTTCAAGTCCCACCTTAGCCATCAAAGCCAGCTGGGTGACTTTGGACTTAGAGATTGTGAGTTCTGATCCTGCCTTAAGTATGAAAGCTGGCTGGGTCACTCTCTCTCTCAGCCCAATCCACCTCACAGGGTTGTTGTTACAGGAAAAACAGGAGGAGGAGGAGGAAGGTGTGTTGAATATGTTTATTGCCTTGAGTTATTTATAAAAATAATAAAGGCAGGATATAAATAAATAAAAAAAATTAGAGGAAGAGAAACCTGGGGAAAGAGAACAGACCACAAAGAAGATGGCAGCCCCACTTTAAGCAGCAAACTTTTCCTGCCAATATGGAACAAGTGGGAAAAAAACATAGCCTCTCCAGTAACCCTCCATGATCACTGCATGACGCCCCCAAACATTCACAACCAGGAGAAAATACAAGCCAATCATTAACAGAGCAAAGGGAACTAAACGGAACAGAAGATAACACAATCTGCCCACTGCTCCTCCCATGGGCCACAGAATATTGGGGAACAAACGCCCACATAACGTGGGCGGAAGGGACGCTGCTGCAGAACCAGGATGTTCCCCGTTTGAACAAGCCAGAAGCAAGCCACGAAAAGAGCAAGGATCCAGCAAGGATCGCCCCTAGTCATCCTTTGCTCCGCATTTATCTCTTTATCTCCCTCCACGGTGTGGCGAGTCTCTGCCAGCTTCCTTCCAAAGAGCCTCTTATCTTAAAAAGGCTCTTATCTTAAAAAGCCAAGGTCTCCCACCCTTTGAAGTACAATTTGAATGACAGTTTTCCAACTGCATCAACTCCTGTCAGTGAAAGCTGGGGGGAAAAAAAGTATTGAGAAGAAAGGGAAAGAGATGGTGGTCTTACTGGGAGGCACTGGTGAAACATCCAGTAAAATATTAAGCCAATGGCCATGTGGATCCAGGGCACCGTTCATTAAACTTCAACTATAAGATAGTATGGACTTCAACTCCCAGAATTCTGGCTGGAGAAGATGGGTGGACTTCAACTCCCAGCATGGAGAATTCTGGAAGTTGAAGTCCACAGTTCTTAAACTTGCAAATTTTGAAAAACATGGATTCGGGACAAATAAAGCACCCTTGATATTTTCTCAGGTCCTTGGTGCTTAGTCTGGGACATTTGGGGTTAATACAGGTATAGAAAGATGCAACAGAGAAGCTAATACCCCCTCAGGAAGAATTAAAAAAAGTATTGAGGCAGGAGGGGACCCCTCAACAGCACCCATTTCTCAGCTTTGCCTGTTCTCTGTCCCTCTAAATTCCTGCTTCAAGCAAGCGTACCTACTCAACCAGCCAACGCTACTTTCCCTGCCCATTTCAGATCGTTTGCAAGAAATTCGGCCGGCAGGACTTATTTCCCAGTGCAATAAACACAAATTAAAATTCTGGGCTTGGCCAGAAAGCAGACAGAGAGAGGGGGTTGGGCTGAAGACGAAACCAGGATGAATGGTAGCATTTTGCACAGTTAGTAGAGCCTTGCACTTTGATCTGTCGGGTGGGGTGGGGGATTTAGAGGGTGGAAGAAGACACCCGACTGATTACCTGCTTTGTTTTCTTCCCATCAGGCCAACTACTGTACCTCCTTAAGCCTTCACAACAAGGAGTCTATGCAATTACTGGTCCCCCTTGACACTCTTAAGTACAGAGAACAAACAAGTTGAAGCTTGTAGTTTGCGACTCCCAGTTAACCCCCCCTCCCTTCTGCCAGGGGTATCCTCCAACCCCTCCCCTTGCAGCCCAGAGCATGCCGGGTACAAAATGGAGCTGCTGCTCTTTTAGACATCCCCCCCACCTTCTCTCTCACTCACACAAAACGACCCCAAATTCAGGGACTCTACAGAGCCTCCATCGCCCCCAGCGTCTCACTTACCATACTGAAATCTAGGAGATCGCTTAATTCCTTGTCGGTCCCTGCTGCAGCCATTCTTTGTTGCTGGTTCATATTCCCACCGATTGAAATGGTGTCTGTCTTTTTTAGAAAAAGGACACGGGGAGGGAGAGAGGGAGGGAGGGAGGGGAGCGATACGGAGGAGAAAGGAAGCAGGGATAGGAGTGGAGAAGAGAGAGATTATTATTATTATTTTAATGGAATGGAAGCCTTTCAAAATCAGCTCATGTTATTCAATACTAGACACAATATGCAACTATTTCTCAGAATTATAAATCCTTCCGGGCAAAAATTCTCTAGCAAGCAACAAGTGAGTAATTAAAACTCTTTCTCTCACACACATACAGGCATGTGCGCGCGCACACACAATATTTTAAAGTGCCCATTTCTTGACTGGGGCCACTTCAAAACCAATTTAAAAAATTTAAAAATCACAAATAATCGCAGGGAGGGAGGGGGGGGAAGCAGAAATCTAAAGGTTATGGCCTTTTCCATTCCAGATCACCTGTTGCTCCAGCTACTGATCTAACACTCAGAAAAGTTGCTGACCTTTGATTTTTAGGGTCCCAAAGTAATTCTGCAGTTAATACTAATACCTCATCTATTTACAAATCCATCAATCACAATTCCGCCCCCCCCTCTTTTTTTTTCTTTTTTCTTTTATACGGACTGGAGGAGTTCTTGTTCTTGCAAATAATAAAGCAAGGGTTTCATTTCCTGCACCCTTAAAAGAGACAGTAGGAAAGACTTTAAAAAAATCTGAATTTTGAATACAGCCTCTAAAAACTAAAAATCAATGTGTGATCCAACCCCCCACAGGGCAATTACCCTGCAATCTTACACTAACCTGAGAATAAGCCCTGTTGATCTGCCTAAACATTTGAGCAGAGATGCAAAAAATAAAAAAGGCATGTCTTATGTACCAAAATTCAGGTTAACAGTGAACACAAAAATTCCATCTTTTGCACACACACACACACACAGTCTTAGCTTTCTCTGTGGAATAGCTAGTTGTGTTGATGAGGAACAATTTTCTCTAATCAACGGCTTCCTTCGATCATCACCTCACTTTCAATCCTTCCCAGTCCCCATCCTCCCTACATAAAAAAAATAAAACTATATATATAAAATAGACTGTAGTGTCCTTGGGGCAGGGAGCCTTTGTTAATTTTGCCTGCCCTATGCTGCTGACTGGGTGGTTTTTAACTGTCTGTCTTTTTTGCAAGCTGCCCAGAATCATTTGGGAGTGGGTGGCATGCAAATATGTAAAACAAACAATAATTATTAACAGCTCCTTGGCTTGAAAGAGGCCACAGAGGTCATCAAATCCAGCCCCTTGCTCAGTGCAAGAATTACAAAATAAAGACCCAAATTACTTGCTGGATTGTAAGAGCCTAGCTGTATATTTGCACCATGAGAACACAGATAGTTTATTGTGAGTCAACACTGCACAACTCAATGGGAATCTACTGCAGAGTAAACCTGGCCCATTTTAAGCTACCTTTTCAAGCACAGAACTTTTTTTTTCTTTTTGCATCTGGGGAACCTCCAGATGCAACAACAATGTCCACAATCCTCAGTCAGCAAGGAAAGGCTGCTGTAAAACATTGATGGGGGGAGGTGTTGTTGTTGTTGTCCTGGTTGTGTGAATCTGATCAATGGGGGTGCAGCCTAGGAAAGCAGCCAGATCACAGCTTTAAATTTGCAGTCTTCAGAAGAAGAAGAAAATTACTTCACGCTGTGATGTGAGATGTCCTCACATTTAATCTCGCTTGTTGGTAAAAGCTACAGAACAGAGAAACTTCAAGGCTCAGGAATTGAAACATATAATTATTATTACCTTAAATAATATTTTTTTAAAAAAAAAAACCTCGTAAAACTTTAGAGCTTATGGTCACCCACCAATGACAAGAACAAAACAAAAGGATGTATAACTCTCTGCCACAAGATATGGTACAAGCCATTCATTTTAAAAAAAGGGAGTTCAAATTAGACAAGAGGACAAATGAAAGATTTTAGTACTTCTTAAGCATGAAAGTGGGATTTAATTTCCACACAGGCCTTTGATCCCAAATGAGACGTGTCAGGGCACAAAACAAGAACTAGAGTCCTTAATTTCTTTGAGGTTTGTGAACAGAAAGATACTTGAGCACTTACACTCACATGGAATCACAGACTTGGAAAGAAAGATACACCCAATTATTTATTGATATCCTTCCCTTATTATTTTTATAAATAACACAAAGGGGGCTGACATACCTAATACCCTTTCCTCCTTCTATTTTCCTCACAATAACAATCCTCTAAAGTGGGTTGAGCTGAGAGAGAGGGACTAAGACGGTTACCCAGCCAGATTTCATGCCTAAGGCAGGACTAGAACTCACAGTTGCCTAGTTTCTAGCCTGGCGCCTTCACCACTAGATCAATCAACTCTCCTGCTCAATGCTCCTATTTCAGCTAGATGAAAATGGGAGACCTCCCCGCCCCCCATTCTTTAGAAATGCACAAGGGGGGGGTTGCCCCAAATAGCCAGAGCACACTTTCTACACAATACATGCTAATCAGGGGTTGACAACTCAACACATTTAATTGCTCTGTTCTCCTGAGATTCCTTTACTCAGGGGTCCCCAAACTTGGCAACTTTAAGACTTGTGGACTTCAACTCCCAGAATTCTCCAGCCACCTATGCTGGGAGTTGAAGTCTTAAAGTTGCCAATTTTGAAGACCTCTGCCTTTACTTGTTTTCTTCCTTTTCTGCATGCCCCCAGGGCCCATTGCCCCTTATAAATCAAAACCCCTAAGTATTCTAACTATGCCTTATATATTCATTGCTGATCTTATGTAACAGACACATGCAGATAGATAGGTAGGTAGATGTGTGTGAGAGAGAGAAAGAGGGAGGGAGGGGGGAGGGAGAGAGAGAGAGAAATAGAGAGTTAGATAGATGGGTGTTGCTTGAGTGGCTGGGTAGAAACTTCAGAATCCTAGAAATGTCTACTTGAGAGTAAGCTCCATGATTGCCAATGTGCCTTACTCCACACAAAGCACAATTAGGATCGTAATCCAGACTTTCCAGGCTATGCCATGTAATGGGCAGAGAGGCCCACTGAATACTATGAGGTTACAAGACTGTGCAGCAAATCCAGTTTACTCTATAATTTAGAAGGGAAAAAAAGAAAGACTCACACCCACTCACTTTCTCTATGAACTTAGTGAAGGCAATTGAGTAATGGTGCAATAGAGCCTTTAATTTCAGCAAACTATCTGGCAATTACTTTTTATCTGAAAGTTGCTAAGCGTGTTTCCAGAAACTCCTTGTAATAAGGGCTAAATTCGAAGGTGGAAAACAAAACTTTTGATCATTCGCCCAGAAGGCCAGATTGCACTCCCAAAGACCTGGATTCAACTCACTGTGGAAAACTCACCGGGGCCCGTCTCTCCCTCTCAGTTCAGCCTACCTCATGAAGATAAATCTGGGAAAAGCAGATTGCTACACGGGAGGAACACTGGCAATGAAATAAAAAATAACCCCAAAGATGTAGGGTATCCCTAGCATTTCTCCTCACTTTGGGGTGAGGAGCAGAGAAGGATGGTAGAAATTGGTACCCTATCAATCTACCTCTTCATCAAGCTTTTTTTTTACAAACATAAATTTCTCTCTGCCCTATTCACATATGTGTGTGGGGGGGGGGGATGGAAAAAACACCCCCTTAAACTGCATTTCAGCCCTACTCCGCTAAGGGCACTTGCCAGTCTTAAGCTGAGGCACAGCAGAATCCCAGACACGTGCTCTCGGCATGAGCAATCGGCTGGATCCGGCCGATGAACCCGGTCTCACTCCAGACACGGATATTCTAGGAGAGGCCCGGAGTTCAGCCCCTGCGAATCGGGCTGGTGCTCTCTCTGCTTTCCGCTGGCAAAGGTCCACGAAAGAACACAAGGGCAAATTGAAGGCGGCTGGACCTCAGGAAGGAAACGTGGTGGCGTTGAGTTTTCCCCTCCCCAAAATATTTCTTCAAATCTCTCCCNTAACAAAAGAGTAATGCCACGCCCCCTCATTTTTTTTGTGTGTGGAACAAGTGTTTTCGGGGAGTGAGGGCTGCAATATATACCTTCTGCATGTATAAAACAAAGGAAATCTGTTTCTCTCTCTCTCTCTCTCTCTCTTTAAATAGTCGATCAAGTGAAGTGACTAAGGCCTTTAACTTAGCTGTTATTTAGAAGCAAAGGTGGCTGAGGAATTCTGGGAGTTGAAGTCCACAAGTCTTAAAGTTGCCAAGGTTTGAGAGTCCTGATTTAGAAATAGAAGACAGGAGTTCTTCACTCAACAGCCAGGCACAAAATTAGAAACAATTGGCACTAACAAATACTATACTATTCCATTTTAATTCAAAGTAGTAGTCTTTTTTTTTTTTTAAATCATCTTGCTTTTCTGAAAACTTTTTGTCGAATTTCAACATTAACACTAAACATATGGATGACAAAAAAACCCCACAAATACCCATCTAAACCTTATTTGCATAGCCCCGCCCCCACCAGATCCTTGGGAGTTCTACTTCCTGCTCACCCTCAAATGTGACAGGCTGTGTAAGATAACAAAGGCCAAATCTTAAGAACAATAGCAAAACAGTAAAACAGGCAGCACTTGCAGTGACCTGCTGAACATGACAAAATTAATCCCATCTGTCTGGGAAATGTTCTCTTTCGGGCCAAGGGAGAAAGGAAGGAAGGAAGGCAGATTAAACTCAGACCGGTTCAAAAACATTTGCACGATGCAAAAAAGAAAAAAAAAATCATAAAAGTGGAAAGATCTCCCACATTTATCACTCCTACCGCTTTATTTTACCCTTGCTCCATACACATTCCCAGCCTCGCTCCAGCTGTAAGTTTCCTTCCAAATAAAAATTTTAAAAAAAAAATCTTCCTGCTTGTTACCCCCACAGGAAGGCCTGTGAAAATATCCATCAATCCAGCACTGGGGAGGCTTCAAATGAGACTTGTTTATAAAATGACAGATACAAAATTGTATCTACAGGATAACCTATATTAAAAGGTAGCATGTCTTCAAAAGTGCCAGCTAT